ATGGAGAGTTGCAAGGCGGATAGCCCTAGCTGGAGCGAATGACTCACGCAGTTCTGTCATTTCTCGCTAGGGTCTCTATTTTCTGTTATGTCTGACAGTTCGCTGGGCAGAAAACAGTAGTTCAATTCAGTCACATTGTGTCCTGTGGGTTTATTTTGTTTATTCATCAATTAGTTACTAAGGACTTTCAATGATTAATTTTTAAAATTTTCAGTGCATTTAGATTTAATTTTATAATACGGTGCTATTTTGCCAAAAATCATTGCCAAGTTTCATCGTAAGTATGGGCTGACTATGCGGTGTTTTCGACAAAGCAGCTTTGAGCGATCCCGAAAGCGATGATTAGCTCATTGATTACAATAATATAAATTAACCAACCATTGGCTTCCGAGACGCTCAGAGCTCGATTGCATTTTCATTTTTTTACTTTCATGATTTCAATATTCAGACGACAGCAATGTGAATAATCCGTATGTATTATTGAGTATATTGATTTCGTAAAAAATGAATTAAGCTGTATATATTGTGTATGACTATGTACATTTTCATAATTTATAAATAAATATTGTGTGTGAAATAACGTATTATTTTTCACTTGACTAGGATTCCTTTAACCAACTCAGAATTCCAAATCCTAATATTTATTGGCTTCAAAATTGCCTAACGTATTTTACATAAATTATATTAATATAATTATAATCTCCCGCCATTTTGAAAAATGTCGTGGTAATGTAATATTGAATGTTCTGGTCGTCGTCTACACGCTATATCTATTGGCAGATTGCCCTTCGAAGCTGTTGGTTGCTAAGGTGAAGGCCCATGATTAATGTGTCCCCCTCCATGAAAAGAACTGGAGGAGACGTAAATGTACCGCGCTACGTGTGAGGGGGATGTGGGGGCTGAAGGCGCCGCCCAACGCCTCATAAACGAGCTGGTTTGGGATGGCTTAACACAGGTAGTGATCAAACCCACTCGTGATATGGTTTTACTGGACGATTTCCTTATTAGACCGGATAACCTAATGCCTGTGAAGTAATTCCTGGAATTAGAGATCACAAATGAGTTCTTCTAAAAATGCGTAGTGGGTAAGCTAAATGATCGTGTAAAAGAAATACAAATTTTCAGCTTTATAGAACAGACGTCACAAACATGCAATTATATTTGAAGAGTAATTTTTCAACTTGGGCTTCTAGCTGATGTACAGTAGAATAGTTATGGACAAACGTTAAGAACATAATTTCAGAATTCTTAGCAAAATTCGTGCCTAACAAGAAACTACGGATCTTGCGCACTACAACAAAGATGTGAGGCGATTGAAAAGGTTTACTGGCATTTAAAGTTGTATACCCAATAAAATTACCTTCAATCATTTCTAAACGATCGATTGAATTGTTGGCCAAATTTTATTCAAGTATGTGAGACATAAGAAGTGAACAAAGAAAGTATTCCAGCGATCTACGGAACAGACGGTTCGTTAATTACAGATGACAGTGAACAGGCGGCTTGTTTAAATAGGCATTACGAAACAGCGGAAGGATCAAACCCCAGGAAGTGAAGCAACACCCGCAATAGAAACATTTCGAGTCGATGCAGGAATTAGTACAAAAAGAATCGCAAAAATTAGAAGAAATAAATATGTAGGTCCTGATGAAATACCAGGAGAAATACTAAAATTCGGAGGGGAAGCCATGATTCGTACCCTGGTTAATGGAAGTTTCTATTCATAATAATACTATTTCCAAAATTGGAAGGCGGCAATTGTAGTGCCGATTCGCAAGGGAGGTGACAGAAGGACTGTTAATAATTACAGGCCTGTAAGTTTGACATCAGTCGTATGCAAGCAGATGAAACACACAGTTGTGAAGTATGTTAGAAGAGTTTGGAATAAAATTGATTGGCTATTTCATAATCAAGACTGTTTTCGTCCCAGGTATTCGCGCGACAGTCAAACCATTTCTTTTTGTCAAGACATAGCAGACTCCTAGACGAAGGGAGTAGGGTCGATGCAATAATATTAGATTTTGCTAAGGCATTTGATGTTGTCCCGCATGGCCTTTTATTTTCCAAATTGTCAGAAACTGGATTAAATCATCGAATCTCGTGGATAAAAGCATTTCTTACGTGGCGCACTCGAAGAGAACAGGTGTTAAATATTCGTCGAAAGCCGATGTAACCTTTGGGGTTCTCCGGGGAGGTTGTTATTCTTAGAATTTATTACTGACATTGCAACTGGAATAAAATGGAAAATTAGACTTTTTGCCGATGATATATAATAGTTGATATATATAAGTATTGGCTCTTCTGCGGATGAAAGTATTTTACAGAACGATCTAAACTGTTTATGGAACTGGGCGCGCAGAAATAAGATGGAATTAAATATGGAAATGAGTAAATTCATTTGTTTTACCAAATCTCTCTGAGTGTAAACTCCAATTACTAGTTAGGAAGTAACGTTATACCACGTGGAAAAAACTGTATTTGGGTTTGGTCCTGCGAAGCGACTTGGGTTTGTCATATTAACAATATGGTCAAAAGATTCTGGGGGGCGCTGTAACTTTGTAATGCGTATTCTAAAAAAAGGTAGTTCTATTGCCCTATCCCTAGCCTAAACTACACTTGTTCGTCATATTTTAGAATACGGGGCGGCTAGGACCTATACAGAAAAGTGCAAATCGAGGTGTTAGATACAATTCAGAAACGGGCCGGAAAGTTTGTAAATCATGGGCGCGTTGTTGACGGCCGAGAAGAATGGGAGTCCCTTATCTAAGAGAAGGGAACCGGCGCGTTTATGCGTAATGAACAAGATATACAGAGAGGACACAGCATGGCAGGTATCGGTAAAATATTACAGAAACCAGATTATAAAAGCAGAGGAAACCATCCTTGGAAAATACAATGAAGAAAACAAAGAACTGATATAGGCAAGTTCTCTTTTGTGAATCGCACTATAGTGGATTGGAACAAACTGCCTGCAAAAGCATTAGAGGCTCTTCCTTCTAATGGAGTCAAATTTAAAAATGAGCTTAATTCCACACAAAAATAAATAAATGCCATTAATGTCTGCCTCCGAAATATGAAAAGAAAAAAATTTAAACATTACCCTGGCAAGTAGAGTGCGAAATGAAGACATAAGAAAGGTAATACAAATCATTGACATTGAAAACACTGTTCGTCACCTGAAATGGCGATGGGTAGGTCACAGCATACGACTTCCCCATACCCGCTGGACTCACGAAATTACCGCTTGGTATCCAAGACTTAAAGAGAGAAACGCCGGTGGTCGAACGAACTAAAGATGCTGTTTGGCAACCAATGGTCTACCTCGGCAAAGGATCGTCAGAAGTGGACGACCCTGTCTAAATCCAACACAACGAACATGCTACACTAGATTATTAAATTTCTCATCAACTTAATAAGTGCTAATGCAGAAAGCAGTAAGATGAAATGCTAGCTAATTAGATTTAAGTAGTGAAATCAACGTGAACAGTGTTAAAATCGACAAAAACAAAGTGAAATGTTACTTATTGTGTGTGTAAATAGCGTTTACATGTCCTTATTTTTGTATGTGAATGGCGTATGTAGAAAGAAGTTCCGATTTGGGTGCTCGGGAATTCTACCATTATGTAACTTATGTGACAATCAAAGGCCCTTGCCTTCTATGGGATTGTAACGGTCTATGATAATAATAATAATAATAATAATAATAATAATAATAATAATAATAATAATATAATTAATTCCATCTAGATCGTCACCAATAATACTGAGATATTTATCTTTATTACAAGGCACGGTTTTCTAGAGTAGCTTACTGAAGGTAGCAGTGGTCAAGGGTCACGGCAGGGACGATAGTACTGTAAATATACTATACAATAATGTTTAAATAATTACGTAATTGGAATATAAATATTTAAATAAATTTTGCCAAATAAAGGAAGGTAAGTGAAAACTCTAGGCCTTTTTAGGCACGGCCCCCATGCCCCATTCCTGGATCCACCAGGGGGTCAAGGTCGTCTCGATGTACGTTTATTGGTGAGCTTTGCGCATTGCATCCGACTTCAGCCAGTGAGCTTCAGGCACCAGTTCGCGTCACAGTATTAATGGGAATTTGAAATTCACCGAGTTGCCAAAACCTTGTTACAAGTCGTTGAAATATATAGTATTTCTTTTAAATATTGCACCTTATACACCTTTATCGTGTTATTTTGGATAAGTCACCGTTGAAAATTGTCATTTTATGCCACTTTCAAAATGATTCTCCACAACTCTCGTTCTCCATGCAACGCACTCCGTGGCGGCCAGCGTCTGGCCTGACTTTTCAAACGGAGAACGTCATGTAACTCGTGGTGCAAACTAATGCTCCGCTGATGTTGCAAAAATCCGTGCCCCGGAGTAGCTCTCCCATCTCTTTCCACCATGCCCGGGATGGACAGTGTGGCTCGGAGGATGGGCACTGTGCTCCGCGGCATTGCGGCCATAGACAAATTGTTGGTGCTCTGTGATTGCGGGCAAAAGGTGTTTCTCTTCCCTGAATTGGAATTCGTGACTATAGAAGCGCTTGTTTCTTCGGCAGACATATTCTCAATAGGGAGAACTGCACAAACACAAACTCAGCGGGAAGGACGATGCGTGTCGTGATAAGTGTGGCATTTTTCTCTCAATAACTTCCAGTACGTAACGGTAGCTATTTTTTTCACAGCGTAATAGTGAATACTATATCTGTGAGGCCAGAATTCGACCTATATCTGTCGAAAGGTATTTTATGATAAGGATTATATGGAATTTAGAACTGAGAAAGATTTACTGAGAAATCAAGTTTTAAGAGAAATTCTTTTCTTTTTACTTTTTTGAACTTTCGCGCTTTTCAACTTTATTTGGACTATTTGGTTTTTATAACAGCGCGCGAAGGCTTGTCTTCACGATGTCTCAGGGCATTTCACGTCTTTCTTGGTCGTGCCGCTAGATGCCGCATGATCGTGACTGTATTTATCAAGCACTCCTTGCGATTATGCGACATCTAGCGACACGTCCGAGAAAGCCCTGAGATATATAACCACCATCGGGAAGACACACATTCATGTGCTACGTTGTTAAGACCCAAGTATAATGATGCACTTTAGTGATATTTCTTCGAATTGTTAGTCGAATTTTACGAGGCGAAATGATAAGATGGTATATTTATTTTTTATATTTTCCCAAGAGTAATTAATTGTTTTTATGTTGGCTATCCTGATTTCTTTTGTCAATGCGCTTGTCATATGTTTCTTCGGCCATTCATCGGGAGGGTCTCGCCAGGGTCTCGCGTTGCGGGGTCTGTGTGGTTATCTATGCGATAGGGAAGATCTTGCATGGTATATCGTTTCTCAAAGCCAAAAGAATTGTAGTAGGATAAAATGGTAAGTCAATTTTTCTCCAAGAATGGGTTTACGATATTCTTGGAGTGAGTAGGCCTTTGGATGTGCATATTTGTGCGTGATAAATGTTGATATTTTAGGCGAGGATTTCAACGTGGTTCTTATATCAATATGGCTTCTGGAATAACATGAAAAACTTTCCCCTTCCCGTCCTGTATTCTCTACTGCCGTGAAAATGGCGATTAGCCTAATATATGTGTGAATTTGATTTTTGTTTTGATTTAATATTTTATATTTCAGGGTTTTGTGAAAGTGGTAAAAAATAAGCAATATTTTAAGAGATATCAAGTTAAGTTTAAAAGGCGTCGTGAAGGAAAAACCGATTATTATGCCCGTGTGAAATTGATTGCCCAAGATAAGAATAAGTACAATACACCGAAGTATCGTCTGATTGTGAGATTTTCAAACAAAGATATCACTTGCCAGGTAACATTACACAGGGATTCGAATACCTCTTGTTTTAATAGTGTGAGAGTTAACTTCTGTTTTTCTGCAGGTTGCTTATGCCCGTATTGAAGGAGATAAAATTGTGTGTGCTGCCTACAGTCACGAACTGCCACGGTATGGAATTAAATGTGGCTTGACAAATTATGCTTCTGCATACTGTACGGGACTACTACTAGCCAGAAGGGTATGTCTGGAAGTTTGTAAAGCATGTGAATGTTATGTTGCTCAATTTAATTTGTTGATTGAGATCTTTAGGTTACTAGTGTATTATAAATGTGAGAGCATGATTTATATTTTAATTCTGGTAATTAAATACTAGCTAGGGGAAATGTTTTTTTTTTTTGGTAAAATTTTAATTTTTACCTTAGAAAAATTTACTTCAGACTTGTAACTAAACTGAGATTGACGGAAATGATTTCCCACGGATGAGACTCCAAAGAGGGGCCCGATATATTTACTGTGGTAAGATTACGAACAATTGTCATTGACCCTCAAACACCACATTATGCATTGCACTACGAAGATTAGAAAAGCTACTCGTCAGTGCATCTTCAATTATTGAAAATAGAAGTATTTATGAGAATATTGGTGCACAAAATTATCTGTAAGGCATTTACATGTAATTTTTTGTGTTATGGTTGTAGAAGCAGTTTATTGTTGCTTGTGAAAGGTTAGGTTAAAGTTGCCTGTGTTAAGTCGAAGTTGGTCTCTTGCATGAGCCATAAGAGCATTATTCCACCTAGGGAACCTGCCCCGCCTGTGTTAATACCCATTTAACCTAAATGTAGGTTAAGTTTATAATTAAGGATTTCTTTTCTAGTAAATTCACAAATCATTCCAGTGTTTCATTGCGTTATGCAAGGTAAGATACCACACATGGTTCCACCCCCCCACCCCCACCCCTCAGTGCAGCCGAGCAAACTGCAAAGATCAACAATACAGGGAAGTCATGTGTGGATCACCTCAGGAATGGATATGTGGTCCACAACCATATTGAAGGTTTTAGTAGTGGCCCTTGAAGCCTTGCAAGTTACACATCCCAATTATGCTATTGTGAAAACGTAATGCAAACAATTCTCTAAACAGTGGTCGATGAAAGGATGAAGTTGGAAATTTCTGATTTAATCTATGATCAATCAATGTATTGATAACACATTTGTATTCTGTGAGATACAAGTTTGTGCACATTAGTTTTAGTGCCTTTATATTCAACAGTCCATGAAGAATCCTTACTGAAGTGTTAAATCCAAAATCTATTCAAGCTGTAAAAAAAAATTGAAGTTATTGGACAAATAGATCTTAGTGTTAAACGCAGCTCTACAAAGCTGCGAAATGGTATTTTTAGTGATTTATGGCTATAACTTCATACAAAACTTTTAAATTGCTTTTCACAATAAAACTTAATTCTCACGTTACAGCTCCACTCACTACTATAAGACATACAGCGAACCTGATACATTGCATGCAAAAAGGAATTTTGCACTCTAGTGGTGTGACTAATAACCTAATGTTGATGTTCAAAATGCAAACAAGATGTTTTAAAGTCTGTTTAGTAATCTACTTCTTTAAATTCATGCACAATAAAATTTCATCTGACATTGGTTTTCAGTTCTATCTTCATACATTAACACACTAAAAATATAAGAACAATGGACAAAACTAGTATGAGCGTAGTCAGCTCTGCTTTCCCCTAAGAAGGGTTGGGGAAGATGGTAGAAGAGTCCATAACCATGGCTCATGTGCACCTCGCAATATGTAAATTAGGAATAAGGATTTAGGACATACCAGGGCCTAGGGTTAGTCTTGGGTGTAAGTCTGCTTGATGCTGAAAGTACAAGGTTCATTTGGTTGGAACACAACTGACAGTGGTTCCAACTGCTATTCTCATTTTAACCTTTACAAAATTGTGTTTATGGGAATTTTTCTTTTACAAACTAAACTTTGGCTTCAATATTAATACGTATAAAATATTAATATTTTGAAGACTTTTGATGACTCCTCCCTACTCGACATGGTTAAAATATTTGAAATTTGGAAACCAGTAATAAATAAAAATCATTCTAGTGTTCACAGATCTTTAAATTGGTTTTGTACTAAAAGGTATATTGTGTGCCAGGAAAGTCTCTCCTGTGGAACCATGCAAGTGATAGCAAGAGAAATTGTTGGTAGCATGAGCTGCAGCTTGTAACAAAAGAAAACAAATTGCTTACCAATTATAAACAAAATGTCAATATTTATAACCAAGCATCTAATAATTCAAAAATGTTGTCTTAATATGATTGCATTCTCATAGTTTTTACCAAGACTTTTTTCCTTTTGGCAGCTTTTAAAGAAGTTGAGATTAGACCGACTATATGAAGGTTCCACTGAAGTCACTGGAGAAGAATACAATGTAGAACCATTGGAGAAAGGCCCTGGTGCCTTCCGTTGTAATCTGGATGTGGGTTTGATGCGAACCACAACTGGGGCTCGTGTCTTTGGAGCAATGAAAGGTGCTGTTGATGGTGGTCTCAACATCCCTCACAGGTTGGATTCATGAAGATTAATTTTCTTTGGACCAATTTTATATTTGTAGCCTTGTTGTTGGATGTTGGGCAACTTCTTATGAAAAGGATCTCTTAAGGATTCCTCCCCCTCACCCCATGCTATCTAAACTGGGCTCGCCTTGTGTTGTATGACAACTATGCATTACAAGTTGCAACATTTGTTTATATTTAGAACTCAAGTCAGGCTAACTTTCTGGGATTGAAACACTTACACAATTGAAATGTTTTCATGGAATCATAGCCCCATACTATACATACATATTATTTCAATGTACATAATTGTATATAAGTGAAACAATTCTGCACTGATGGCCATAGTGACACTCCAGCCAATTTCTGATGTTTTTTGTTATTGCGAAATCGGTTTAATTTTTTTTAATGGAATCATTGATGTTTTAACAGGAAAAATTGATCATGTTTTTTGTTGTTGTTTTTTTAATTTCTAATGAAAAATTACATATTAAAGGGCACACTAGTAAATAGCCCAAGTTTTATCTATTTAGGAAAGAGTATTTAGTAGAGTAATTATTAGATGTATCTCAATGTTACTCGCGCAAGTTTTCTGGATACAAGAGCTCCCTAGTCCTCACCCAATGCTGAAATGCACATTGATATTAGACTTGAAAAGGTGCATATCAATTTACAATGCTGGCAACAACCACCTCTTATTTCAAAACAATAGTAGCATTTCTTGAGGCATGCTTTGGTTCATGCCACACGTTTTAAGTGATGAAGTAGCCAGACCCCTCTTCTCCCCTCACCTCCTGCTCTGGAATATCAAGAAAACTTGTGTGTATAGTTCCAAAGTTTCACTCATATTCCAACAATTTATTATATATAAAAATCTAGAATCTTGAAGTTTTGTTTACAATTTATGTTCTTAATTGCATAGCACCAAGCGTTTCCCTGGTTATGATGCTGAAAGCAAAGAATTCAATGCTGAGGTTCATCGTAAACATATTTTTGGCCAACATGTTGCCGAATATATGAAAGAACTGGCGAAGGAGGATGAAGAAGCTTATAAACGCCAATTTTCAAAATACATTAAAGCGGGGATCGATCCTGATACAGTAAGTTTGTTTTCCTAATTTGCATGTTTTTTGTTGATACTTCTCGCATGGCACTGGGATCTAAATAGATATTCAAAATTCCAAGGCAAGGAAAGTAAAAATGGGGGAAAATGTTAAGTTTTTTGTTGTTTTTTTAGATTGAAGACTTGTACAAGAAGGCACATGCTCAAATCAGAGCTGATCCAGTTCATAAACCCAAGGAGAAGGATCAATCGAAGATCGTCAAAAAGCGATGGAATCGTGCTAAATTGTCTCTTGCTGAACGTAAGAGCAGAGTTGCACAGAAGAAAGCATCATATTTGAAGAAAATTGAAGCTGGAGAGATTGCATAAATTTTGTAATGTTTGATTAAATGGATAAGGAGAAAATAAAAAATTATTACTGAGGAATTTTTGCATTTTTATTTGTATATTTTTAAGAAATATAAGTAAGAGTTATAATTTGGTAATTTTTGTTAGTAACTTAGGGAATTTAGTTTCGGAAAGTGGCACGTGCCAACAGGTGGCAGCACGAACGATAGGGTTCAATATGGCGGGTTCGGTATGTTGACGTTGACAGTGCTAACCTAACAATTCGAAGTTAATAGGATGTTTGTTTGACAAAATCAAAGAGTATTCTGCAGTTACGTATTCCAAAGGGCGTACGAGAATTTAAAACCACCTAAAGCTTATAATGGGGTCTCTTGGGTGGTTTTAGTTGACAATTAAGTTTTGATTATTTCCACAATGGGTAATGAAGGAAGTCATCTAGCTGGATTAGAAGTAGAAGATGAAGCTATCGAAGTGACGGAAGCGTGGTCTATGTATTCTGCGTGCTTAAGCACGGGTAGTATGGCCAAATTATCTGTGTTCGTTAGCCCAATGTTTCCTGGTATCGCGAAATCTAACGTGCCCTCTCTCATTCAGGCTTCAAAGGTAAGATTTTAGGTTAGAAATAACGTGTTACCCATTTCGTCCCTTAATAGCGTTGACTCGTGAAATCGTATGCTCTTATTATATATATAATATGAGGTTATTTTTCTTTTCTACTTCGTCTCTGAACTTATGTCCACTTGAGGCATTAGAGAGGGGAGAACATTGAACAGTTCAATGCCATCATATTGGGACCATTATTGAATTTTAGTAATTAAAAAAAAAATTAAAATCCTTTTAGGAAAACACTTGTCAGGAGGCTATCTATTTATATGTATTTGTTGTATAATGTTCATTGCTTTGTTACTTCATGAAATATTGAGGTATGCTTTAAAGTTGACTTTAACTGAGTCTCTCTATCAACTGAAGTCCCTTATAACCTTCATTTGCTCTGAACTATCAATGGCCTTATGCAGATTATGGTTGCTTATTTATGTTATTAATGCCAATGTTTTGTATGCATTTTTAAATAGTCGACAATGATATGTTAGGTTTTCATTGCCATATTATTAGCGTGTTGTAGCTCAATATAGAAAAATAATCAATTTTGGTGAAGGTTTGTGTTTTATCTATTTACAAAAGTTTGTCTTCAGAAGTTTTGTGCAATTTATTTGAAGGTTTTCTTTTCATTTCTTCTACTGCTTAAAATGGATTTAATGTTGAGAAATTACTAATTTGAATTAAACTTCCCATATGGTCTTGATGCCAAGTAAGATCTAGAAGTTTGCATGGAAATTGAAGGTTTGTGTGGTCTTGTTATGTAAAGCTTTTGTTTTTAATTAGTTTCCCAGAACATTGTAGTTTAGTGGATTCAGGTATAATGTTTTAGAAGTTAAAATTCCTGTAATAGCTGAAATTATTGACTTTTTGTTTTGTTACGATTGAAATTAACAATTAAAATTGAGGATTATTTGTTGCAAGAAGGTGTTTAAGTTTTATTGTAAGGGAATGGTATGTAAATGGTTGTTTTTTCGGAATTATTTCATATTATTATTATAAAATTTTAATTGAGGTAAATTATAACATGATAAGAAACTAACAAACATGTTTTGAGTGATTATTCTTGATTGTCGAGCATATGTGAAACTGAAAGAGAGATTGCTCTTGAACTTTTCAACATTACTTTCCAGAATTTAATGTTGCATCGACATCCGTGCATCTTAAAATTTGTGTCTACTTGGAGTCATGGTGGAAGATTTCATTTGGCAACAGAAGAGGTTCGGCCACTGTCTCATGTTCTTGATCAACAAACTTCATTGCAGATATGCTTGGGGCTCCACAGCATTTTGAAAGCTGTAGTTTTCCTTCATGATAAGGTATTTTGCGAGGGGATGCATTATTTGAGGATTCACATTGGTCATTTAAAAAATGAATCTGTGAAAAATTCTTGTTTTCAGGCAAAAGCTTCTCACAATAATGTGTGTCGTGCTGCTATATATGTCTCTCCTGATGGAACATGGAAATTAGGTGGTTTTGAATTTCTGTGTTTGTAAGTTGCCAGAGAGTAAAAGCTCTGAATATTGTTGTTGTTATTATTATTATTATTATTATTATTATTATTATTATTATTATTATTATTATTGTTGTTGTTGTTGATGTTGGTGTTATATATTCACCTGTTACTAACAAATATATTTCACTTAGATTTCAAGATATGTCTGCTACACGTCTTCAGCAGACACATGCTCATCGCTATGAAAAGGCAATAGCTCCAGAAGAGGATGGAAGTACTCTCACACATCCATCAGCCGTAGATCAGTATGCGTTTGGGGTGCTTGTGGAAGAAGTTCTTAAAAAAAGTATGTGTGAAAGCCACTTTGGTACTTCTTGAGAAGTGATTGAATTAACAATTATTAAGATTGTATTTTGAAATGGGAAGTTTTGTTGTCTACATCAAATTACAGAAGAGATAGATTTATATATTATCAGATGTTCCATAACTAGTTTATATCTGTAATCAGCAAATTAACAGTGGATAATTCTTGTAACTTCTGTTAATTGAAATTGGTCACTTACAATGATAGTTTGAGATAATGATCAGCAATAACATATTCCTTTTTCTCTTCTTTCTGAATTTCACATAGACTCTGATATCTGTGAGTTTACTCTATCAAGTTTCTCAATTGTAGATTCATTGGTAGGTTTTGTATGTATCTTCTTGATTTTCACTGGTTGACAAAAATTAACATTTTTCTTTCACAAGAATGCAAATTACAGATTCTAGAAGTATTTCTCATATTCAATTCAAATATTTCAGTACTTCCCCATCAGAAAAGAGTTTTGTGTGATATTCATTTGAACTTTTTATAATTTTTAATAAAATGAGTAACTATCTACTCTAAATGGTGTGTTACTCATCCTAACTTACATTCTGACCATTTATTTTGTACCTAGAAAGTGGTAATAATGATTTTTGGGCATATCCTGTTTCTGAAACATCTTTTTTTTGGTTCAACAGTAGTCAACCAACATATTAGAAGTACACTTGCTTTAGTACTTGTTTCTCATTGAAGAAATTTATTGATGAAAATGCTAACCATGCTCATCACTGACAGTCCCAAGATGTTCCGGGAGGAGGTCTATGTCAGAGTCTAAGAAGTGGATTTTCAAAGACGTTACATCCAGTGGCTTTATAAGAATGCAGAAGACCAATGGCTATGTTCAGGAGTTTTCTACTTTATGATTTCCAAAGAAATTACAATATAAATCTTTGAAAGACTGTGAGGCTGCTTTAACCAGTTGATTTAACAGTTCTTCAAAATGTTCATCAGCCATAAAAGACATGTGTGGTCCTAAAAAATCCCTTCTTTCAATTTAGCATCACTTACTTTGGGAAATTTATATCCAGTACAAGAATCCATCAGAAAGTTTATCCTTAGCTTTTACAAAATTTTTCATTCCTCCTATTTTAATATGGGATGTGCAATGGAGGTAAATATATTTTTCAGGATTCATTAAATGGACATGTGACACATTGTTTCGGTCAGGGAATGTCAGGGACTAGTCAAACAGAAATAACAATCACTTAGATGATCCTTCAGTTCCCTCCAAATCATAGGAATTGCAAATGGCATATGCGTACAATTTTTCTATTATGACAATCTTTACACAGAACAAATATTTCGGGCCAGCTCTTGTCAAAATGAACTTGACAGCCAAAGTATTGTAGATAACACTTTTTTGCAAGTGGCATTAAATTTTTTCTCTGAATCTTTCAAGTCAGCTCATCAGAAATTCAGCAGAAATTATTTAATGATTTGTAACACAGCTTACACAATACACAAAGGAAAGAAGTGTATCACTTGTGATATTTGTGCTTGCAAGCTCATAGACACTTCAAAACTGACACATAATTCCAGATTAACTAGCCTGAGCATGTCAAAACATGAATAAACCTGCACAGTGTTTCAGCATGATATTACTTATGATTTCCTTACATACAAATTGAATAAAATCACTACATATAAGGTAATATTTCCCATGACATGTCAAAGAGAGTGTTAAAATCAGATTTTAAAAAGTAGCTGTGCTTGATGGGAAAATTCTGAATACATATTTGAATTCAGTTAGAAAAAATACAGTATAATCTCTTATCATATTTCTTATGAAAAAAAAACATGACGACCAGTGTTATCTATTCAAAGGTTATTATTGAATTAATTGTTCTCCTCTTTTCCTGAAATCATGTTAACTAAGTCAAGTTAAAAATTGTAAATTTTGTATATGGTGCATAATTATGAGAAACTTATGGATTTTATCTAAGGTTTTCTTTTCTTTTTTTTAGGTGAAGAGGAGTTGAATTGTCTTGCAGAATTTCGAGAGTTGGCACGACGTCAGTTGCAGAGCAGTGAACCTTCTCTTCGCCCTCCCTTGGCTCCCCTTCTTGAGCATCCTTTTTTTGATCATAAATTTTTGCACATTCACTCGTTTCTCTTAGAGCTTCCCCTGAAATCAGAAGGAGAAAGGCAAGACTTTTTTAGGTAAGGTTTCATTGTGGACATTACACGTGTCCATTTAAAGTTAATGACGTTGTATCTCTGGGGGAGGGGTGAAATGTACAGAAGAGATAGCTAGGATGAAAACTTTGATCTCCTGAGGCTGATTTAACTATGTGAAAGTAAGGGTATCGTCAATCATTTTGGTTGTAAAACAAATTAATAGACTCGCTCATTGGAATTCTTCGAGAAAAAACAAGGGTAAGAAACAGTTTCCTCTTGTTTAACCTACTTTTTTGGAAACTATCAGACTGCCCCTCTTATGTAGTATAAGGAAAGTTAAGTTACGTATGTGAAAAAAAGGTGAATTTTCAGTTTGAAAAAAATTCTTTACTGGATCCTGACAACAAAAAAGTGGACAAGTTCAGTAAGAAGAAAAATCCCCGAACATGTGGTGTAGCCAGAATCCCTGTTTTGTGGGTCCTTCATACCAAAAAACTAATTGACGGCAAAACGTAGGTACGTCTGTCTGTGAACACTACTAACGCCTAAACCATATGTATGATTTTTTACAAAATGGATACAAGATAAAACACTCCTGCATGTTGGTACCAACAGGATGAAGGACAAGCATTCAAACTAAATGCATATCCACGAAAAGCAACTCTTGTTAAAATTGAGCTTTCTAAAATGAGAAACATTTGTTATGCGTTGGCATATGATAAATCATACGATGGGGTGTAATGGATTAATTTTAACATTTCCAGCAATTTGTAAACACTATTTTATTTGTTAGTTAATGAACTACAAATGACTTCTAATGAAGTGTTTTGAAAACTCAAAAATTTTCCGTGAAAAAGAGCTTAAAATTGGATTTTTCAGAATATTTAAAACACTGTTTACTTAAAAACGGATCCAAATTTTTTAAAGAAAATTTCCTTAGGTCGAGATTTTATTGTTCTTTAATATTCTTGAAATATTTTTGTTCTACTATTACGAAACTGAAAAATTAAGAAAATATCAATAAAATGTACATTGGGCGGTGATAGATGGCATGTGACAAGTTCGAATAGATAGCCGAGACCAAAGGAAATAGAAAACTAATACATGAAAGTTTGTGACATTCTGAGCACCACTTGTTCTCTGTTTTACTGAGCAAATTTTCTTGAACACCTTTCAAGATTCTGATAAAAGAATCAGTATGTATTTAAGATTAATACTAAATCAAATATAGTCTGGGAGGCTGAAAAATAAATTTTTCATTGATATTTAAATGTATTGTTTGGTCGGTTCATGCAAATTTAAGGGAAAATATAATTACTTTTTCATACACATATGTAGTATATATAGTGTAAAACATGTATTATACATAAGTAATATATGAAAGTTATGTAATGCTGTGGAAAGTTAATTTTGAGATCTCAAGAGAAATATCTGTTGTGGGATCCCCTGATACTGAAATAGTTGTTTACGTTACGAACAGTAAAAGTGACATTTTATTTTGCAAGAAGGAAAGTTTGCAACATGAGGCCAATAGGCCAAGTATACAAATCTCTTAAATGATAAATGAAGGTCAGTAGGAGCTGATATGGTCAGATGAAAGTATTTTGATTTCTTTGTTGCATGCACAGATTTATCTGAACTCTTGGGCATTGTCTCACTTTTAGCACTAGTGCAAAAAACTGAACTTCCTGCATGCTACACTTGCTCTAAAAGAACTGCTTTTACTAGTTGCTGTCTAAAAATTGTTTTTACTTTCTCTCATACTACATACACAGTGGTAAGTTATATAATGATGCAGCAAAAAACTGTCAATTTCTGGGCAGAAAAATTTTGAGATCCTTGATAGTGAAAAATAGTATCATTCTTGTTCCTTTGTATAGTATATTACTTCCTCTGACATGTGTGGGTCAATTCCATATAAACGGTCCAGAATTTAATAAGTTGTCCACTCAACCATCTTGAAACAAATTTATTCTATGTATATTTCCTTATGTTTTAGCTGTTCAAAATCATCTTTAATTTGATTTATTTCTTGTACCTGGTTTACAAATGGTGGCCATTTTACACTGTGCGCTGTTTTTTGAGTTTCTATACGTTTCCTCTTTTCTAAGTTACTCAGCTCTGAGTCTAGTATTCTAGAATAAAAGTTCGATGGTTTGGTTTCAGTATATAGTGGTCTACAAATTGAAATATTATTTACCTACTTTCTATGTTTTTATTTGGGAAATATTTGCAACCAAATCTATGGAACGCGAATCAGTGAAATTTGGTTTTCAGAGAGTACTTTCTCAATGAAGAGATAGAATCATAGACTTAATTTTTCTGCGCTTTTACACGTAAAAGTATAGCTCTTTTTTGAAAATCATAATGGGTAAATAATGCACCCCACTGGTAATTTACATCCTCTTAAAAATTGGAATTTTGGATATTTCTAAATTTTCAACTGTAATATATCTGTAAGGGCACCAGATAAAAATCTGAAAATTGCACACATGCTGGTTTGCTGTGATACCAAACTTCAGGGAAAATTTCAACTTTTTCATTTAACTTGAAGTATTTTTTTAAAAATTGTAAACTTGCAGAAAAAAGGCTCTATTTCTACATTGAGAAAACATTATGCTAAGTAGATATCATATTACTTTGAAGCTTTTTAAACAAAAATCTATATTAATTTAAAATAATTAATTATTCTTTCTTATTAATAAACATAAAATTGGGCTAACATGTAATTGTCAATATTACATATACTTTACTTTAAAGCAAACTTACAACTTGGCATCTATGTTAGTATATTGAAAATATGGCCATCTTGATTTTAAACAATGAACTGGCTAATATAAAAATTGTTTATAAAATGTAAGAAATACATAAATTCAGTATTTTGATTATATTTGCCATTATTATTATTTCTGGACATTTCTGAAGAGATATGGTCAGTCGCACAGTGTGGTCCAAGAATACCATGGGTAAAAATGTAAAGGAACAGGACCGAGATTGAATTATACGATTTTCAGGGTATGTGAAGGCTCTTCATGACGGCCAATAAGAGCTGTAGGCACTGCCAGAAATCCTGGTTGTCTTTGAGACATTGAAGAGAATAGGAAATCAGTTTTTATTTTGTTTCTAGGTCATTGCCTGGAAACTTGGCAGGTTTTCCTGAAGAAGTTGTTGCTACCCAGTTGGCTGCTTTATTGCTAAGCAGAATGGTTCTTTTAGATCATACTGCCCAAGAACACCTTCTGCCTGCTTTATTGCAACCCCGGAAAGGTGTGAAAAAATTGAATATCCATTTTTCTGTAATATTTATTTAAATTGAATGTGACATAATGATGTTTTATTTTTGCAGAGGGAGATGAAGCTTGTGGAAAGGGAATATTTTCAATGGCAGTTTTTAAACACCATGTAGTACCCCGGCTTCTTCAAATGCTATGTGTTCGAGATGCTCAAATTCGTTTGTTACTTCTATCACATTTTCAGTGCTTTCTATCTACATTCAGTGTTGATCAACTACGTTCATCAGTTCTTCCAGAAGTAAGCATTTACTATTCAGATATAATAGAGGAGCATATTTCAAAACAATTCTAATAAATGAAAAATGTGAAGTATAGAATTATTAATGTTGTTTCTAGATCTATAAGCTAGTATTAATTGCAAATTCATATATTTTATTTTCTGATGCCAAGAGTAACAAAAGAAAAATTACAGGGAATAAACATTGATTAGAGTTCAACGCATGCCAGCAAACTAATGTTTTAAATTAGGGTAATCAAGTTTTGTAGGATTAATTACACGTTTCTTTTTGTAGCTTCTTGTGGGAATTAAAGATACAAATGACACTTTAGTTAGCATGACTCTGAAAGCATTGGCTGATATGGTACCTGTCCTTGGCGCTGCTGTGGTTATTGGAGGAAAGAGAGGTAAATTATTCACTGATGGCCGACCTAAGGTAAGGGACAAGAAAAGTGCTCAATTTGTTTTCTTTTGTAATATAATTTTGAAAGTATAATTGTAAGGTTAGATTGATGCTTGCAATATTTATTTTTGTTGATCCTGATGTAAAGGGTACTCCTGGATAAGACTAAAAATTTCCTCTAAACCAAACGACATGAGTAGTTACACTATAACTCGAACATAAAAATAATATTTTTGAAAGTTTTCTTAGCCCCATCCCACCACTCACCCCCCTCTGTAGTCAAAAGCGTGTTTTTTGACACCTTAACACTATTTTATCTGATTAAAAAAATATGAAAAATAAGAAAATAAGTTATACTTTCTGAAAAATATTTTTTGATATTTTCCTAGCTCCAAATTCAAATTCAAAAAAATTTTTAAAAAAATTACTGTGACTTAGAAGCATGGAATGGGCTAAAAAAATCTCTTAAAGTTCCTCTCAAAGCACAAATTGTTCTGAATTTATTTCAGAATTTTACAATGTTGGGCTGTAGTTCCAAAGAAAAAACAAAAAAAAACAACAACATTTTAACTCCATCCTCCCTCCCCAACTTTAAAATCATCTTTACTTTAAGTACACTTCGAAAACAACTGCAACAATTCTGCGCATTTATTTTAGAGTCTGTTATACAATTGTATACATTGTTGTAGCATCCAATCATATTTTGACTTTGGAATGCAGTTACAAATTATCATGTTTTTAAAGTTTCTAATTCTTTGTATGAGTATATCGTACGCTAGGCGATAATGTTTGGCAGTTTATGAGAAAATAATTCAGGCACTTGAGAAGGATATGTGGGGACATGAGGAAGAACAGATTGGTCCCGTATTTAGAATACCTGTCATACTGTGTCTTAGACCAAGCATGAAAAAGTTATAAAACTTCCTCTCAGAAGACTTGTGGACTTTTTTCAGATTTTATCAATTGCTGGGACACAGTAAAAAAAAAAAAAAGATATTTTGGGTATCTGGTAGATGCCGCATCCTAGGGACCTGCAGACTTCCTCCAGGACGAAGGTCAAAGAATGGCAACTCAAACGTTGGCATGTGTGCCTAGGATGCAGGGTCTCTAGGACAGCCAATGACGTACTGACTCTGTCTGCGTAATCCTACGCTCTCACACCTATAATTGTTTCAGACTAGAGAAAAAGTTATTTTCCTTTATCTCAGTATTTATTCTTGTAATCGTGGAAATAAGTATATAGCTGCACCTAGCTGTCCCTCATTATTTCCCTCATTTGTCTTCATGTCCCCCAAAACACATCATTTGTCAAAATTTACCTGTCCTCAGAAAAAGTCATACCTGTATGGAACATGCAAATCTGGTTTAAAACGCCTAGGGCGCATTGGTTATGAGTTATTCGCAATTATAATTTGTGGAGCAATAATCTTTCATTCTTTTTTTACCTTTTTATTTTCTCCTTCTTCTGAAATATGTTCAAAATAGGACTGGAGTGTAATTCTGTATCCACCAGTGTCACACTCACAAGGTTTTGTGTTGGTTTCTTTTTAACTGCCAAAAAGTTGTCATTATTCCTTAGCTTATGATGTACTCATACTTATACGAAGTATTTGAAAGCTATAAAAACATGATAATTTGTAACCAAATTTCAACATCAAATGTTACTCAGCACTACAACAATGTATACAAATGTATAATAAACAACTAAAATAAGTGCACAGAACTGTTGCAGTCATTTTCGAAGTGTATTAAAAAGGCAAGGAAATGGTTTTTATTTTATTAACTACAGCCCAGCAGTTGAAAATCCTTTGAAATAAATTCAGAACAACTTTGTTTTTATGAGAATTTTTTTTGAGCCTGTTCTAGGATTCGAGTAAAGTAAAAATTTCTAATAGTATAAATTATTTTCTTATTTTTCATATTTTTTTCAGGAAGATAAAATGCTCTTAAGTTGACAAAAAAAGTTAAAATAAAGAAATACTTTTTTGGCTGTAGAGGGGTGTGGGTGTTGGGACAGAGACTGAGAAACCTTTCAAAAATATTACTTTTATGTTTGAGTTATAATGTAAACTACTCTTGTCATTTAGTTGAGACGAATTTTTTACAATCTTCTCACAAGGTACCCTTAATGAAATGAAATAAATACTTGCTGCATTACATAAAATAAAACTTTCATATGATTTTTAAAGTTATTGTCGTATTGATCACAGGAAGCTATATTTATTCATTTTTCATTAGAGCTTAATGAGATTGTTTTCTGTATATATGATTGTGGGTTCCTTTATTTGATATGTCTCCTTTTAAAATAAAAACATTGTTTTTGAATTGAGAGAAAAAAATAATAAATCTGGGGAGATTGTCATGACTAAAAGAGAGAAAATTGGTCACAATTTGGTTCTGCTATATTTAATATTGGCCACCACCAATCTAAAAGCAAGATTAATTTGTAAGAGCTCGCTTGATTTAATTGGAGTTGAATTAACCAAGTAGTTTGTCTGTATACTGCTGTAATTGTATTCTGATTGTGATCTGAAACTGTGTACTCTACACTTGTGTGTATTGAAAATTATATACAAAAGGTCGTGAGTTTTCACTTAACCAAATTGTTTGGAACCTTTTATATTTGTAGTTGGTTTAAGATATTATTATAATTTCAAACATGAGAAAAGGAGGTTGGGTGTTGCTTTTCTCCAGGTTCATCAGACTCCAATAAAAGATCTTAAAAAGCAGGAGAAAGTCCTGCCTGAGCCTTCTTCTCTTCCTACAATTGAAGTTAACGGGAATGGCCTCCCTGACTATGGGTCACATTTACCCGAGAGGCCATCTCCCGACGGTGGGGAGGCTGAAGCAACTAATAGTGATAAAGGAGAAGAGGAAGTGTGGTCCGATTGGGATGTTAGTGATCCCCCTCACCCCAGTGGTGATTCTACAGTGAGTCTACAAACCTGCAGTGGGATAAAAAATTATTCCTTTTTGCCATTGAACATATAGTGGGAGATTTCACTTTATGGAGTTACATGTTATATTTGAATGAATGTTACCTGAATGTTACGGAACGTGTCTGTACAGCTGTTCGCCAGCTACACGAATCCTTGACTGTCAGTGATCAGCAGAATATCTGTGCATAAGGGGTTGCCTAAAAGTCAGGCACAAATGTCACGTGTGAAACTCTTGTTATAACCAGCCCCACTACATGCTCTTTGACAAATAGTGCCAAAATATTTTGTGCTCTATCAGATGTAGGGAAGATGTTATGCTATTGGAATTGTTATAATAGTTTGTTGATGATTGCTTGCATAGCAAAATATCCTCTCTCTGTTTAATATGCAAAATTAGGGGTGCAGATATCTATTTCTCGTGAACAATGAAGAATTTTGGAGAGAGCGCTACAAAAGGAGTTGGCAGGCATAACAAGAGATAGGCAAAATATGTTATTCTGTATTCTGTTGTATGTAACTCACAAATGGGGCATTCCTGATCCTTAAAATCTGGTTTCTGGGCTCCAAAGGGGTTTTTGAATTAAGTATCTTAGAATATTATCTACAAAAGGAGTCATTTCTGGATCTTTCTTTATGTTTTTGGAGATATAGCTCTTCTGTGCACACTCATTTCATAGCCCAGGATGTCAAAAGGGTACAGAATCTCGCAAACTAATTTGGCAACTGATATTCTCTGCTGTTTAATCACACAGAGTCTTGAATCATTCTTTTGTTAATAAATATGTAGCAAAATTTGTTTAGCTATGCCCAGATCACATAATACAGTTAAGGACGTGGTTGTTCAACATTTGGTTCCAGTATAAAGCTTTAAAACAATGAAGTGTGAAATGTGTGCATGGATCTTAGAGTATGTTTTAATGGGGTGAGGAAAGTAGGTCGTCAATTGTTTTCAGCTAAGAGAGAACAATCTTTTATCATGAAATTTGCACACTGTGTACAAAAAAAACCTGAATGCCTTCAAGGATAGTTTGGATACTCAACATTTTTTTGTGTGTGTGTGTGTGGTGTTTTTTAATTTGTTGTTTTGTAATTGTTATTTATAATTGCATACAGACATGCATACAATTATAAAAAATGTATAATTGTGATTTAATTATAACATTGTTACTCTACGAAAGTAATTTATTATATAACTTTATTACACTGTTGTAAGATACGTGAAGAACAGCTTGTTGCTGCCACCATTAATAAATCAATAATAATAAATAAATCATTTTACTGAGCAAATAGATTATAAAAGAATTCACTTCTGGTGTTAGTATTTTAACATGTACAACAGACACAGGATTATGTTAAATTGGACTTTGGATAATTTGAAAAAAAATGTCCCCCTCGTTACTACTTAAACTTGTGTAAAAGATGTAGTTATTTTCAATTTTCAAATTTATATAAGGGCAATTTAATACCAGAATTTTATTGATTTGAAAGGAAATAATTGACTTAAGTGAATGTTGCAACTGATTAGTGAATTACGTACAAGAATGTACTTCATCCTGAAATATATCGAAAAGCATTAAACAGTTTTATTTCAAAGGAAATAGTAAGGAAGCTTTGGGGGTGGAAATAAGTGATATTTTATAGAAAATATTTTTGAGGGTGGTTGTAAATTTGTGATATGAATTTTTGAAAGTGGTTTGGGTACAGGAAAAGGGTTGACTGTGTTCTTTAATCCTTTCTTAAAATTGAAAAAACATGTTTAATTATCTTTCTCGTAGTATGAAATCAGAAATTATACTTATATAAACATTCGATTCTTTCTTTAAACCGATCCTAATAGTTTGTGTATATCATTTGATTAAGAAAGCGTGTTTCAGGATTTTGCACTTCTTGATAAAACAGGACCTTTTATTTTTTGTAGGTAGACACTGTTGATAATGTACTTGGTTCAGCAATAAGTGGAATTAATGTTGGTGTGCCTGCTGAACCAGTTGGACATGGTGATGCGGAGATACCTGTAATTGGTTTGCCTGATATAATGTCCTTGGACATCAAAAATTTAACATCCCCGGTTGGTGGTGAAGAATTTGACTTCTTTCAGGTAAACCTTTTTTCATTCTGTACTTTGCCAATGTGATGTTTTCTAATGACAATAATACATCTATCATGTCTTGTTTTACTATTAATCTTCTATTTCATATTATGTGAAGTTTTGTGAATGTTATGATTTTATCAGTCACATGCATCTTTAACCACTGTTAACATGCAGCCCTACATGTTTTGTCATGTGCACTTATACCTACTTGTATGTTAAGAAATTTAACATCCTTAGCAACAAAAATAAACAACCATCGATTCATGGCAAGTCAAATGTTTATCAAGAAAAAAAGATGGCGATGTTTTGTGCAAATCAGATTCAGACAATTCAGAATAAAAGTAATTCGTATTAGTTTGGAGGATACTTTTTAATTATAATATTAATAGTGCAATGAAAAAGTGTATTAGGTCAATTAACCCCGTTTTCCTGGCATTCGATTAAATCAACCTTTTCTCTGGTAATAATATTTACTGATGATCTGAAGATGTCACTGCTGGAAGTTGATGTGCCAACTTCCTCATTCAAGGTCATTTCTTTAGGTTCAGAAGAATTCTTTGCATCCATCTTTTCTCAAATCACAGTATATGAATATTGTTTAAATAAGATATATTGCAAGCAACACCCCACCACATCGCAGTATCATGCCTCAGCAACAGAATTTGTTTTTCTACTGCAGTAATGTCATAAACTTTCACATAAATCATGAGATTTTATGATGACTGATAAAATACTGAACATACCACGAAATGTTACTACTAGTGATATTACTGCCTCATCCTAATTAAAAATCTCAGTTCTGATACGTTTCGCCTCGATTTTTAATCTTTGACCTCTGCAGTAATAACACTCATAACATTTCTAGGTATGTTAATATCTATATCATCATGGACTATATGTGTCAATTTAACTGCGTTCCCTACTAACTACTGTTCACTTTTACTGATTTATGCATCTTTGGCCCTGGTAGGTATCAGCTGTTTATGGTTTCATTTATTCAGAAGCATGAATGTCACCGTAGTGATGTTCAAGCTCCCGATTGAATGAAACTGTCAATAACTGATACCTTGCAGAGATAGAGTTGCGAAAATTGCAATATACTCCTATTAAAAGTTATTGTATATTTGGAGACAGGGATCCTGCCAAAAGTAGAAAAAGTTTATGTGTGCAATAATTGTTATATATTTGCATCTTTAGAATTGAGAATTAAAAAGTCAAAATAAATGTTTAGAATTGGTATAAATTAAAAAATGTGAATAGAATACAAGTAGTAATGTATGTTCAATATTTGTTCTGAGAGAATGAGTGACTTTGAGTCTTTTTCACAAGAGAAGAATCACTGAATTTAAACACCTATTTCAAGAACTGTGTGAAATACGTATGGGAAATGGCATTCCTCGGACTTGGTTAGCTGCTTAAAATATGCCCATTTTTTAGGGCACCGGGATATAAAACATTGTTTATGTTTGATGTGAAAACAATTTCTTTTCCACAGGATATGGAACCCGTCATTTCTAAACCACAAATTGTTCAAGTTGAAGTGTTTGCTCCAGGAGAGAAGAATTCGCAAGCTCTGAAATCTAATGGGAGCCTCTTTGATGTTGCTCTGGCTTCTACAGAGGGTGATGCGTGGGGCGATGATCTAGGAGACTGGGCTCTTGAAGAAACTTCAGAAGCATTGAGTGGAAAACTTGGTAGTTGAGGCAACACTTATTGAAATGATATCTAATTAAAATGTGATCCCAAATCTAGTTTGAATCACAGGGTCTGCAAAACAATGAACTGCTGTTGTAGTACCCTGTTGTTTCCTTTTCACGCAAAAAAACCTAGAAGTGTTACTTGAGGTGATCATTATACATTTCATGACAATACAAGTGTAAATACTGCTCAATATTTAATGAACTGAAATTTTATTCCGTAGTTGTGGACAAGACCATTCCAGTTGTTTACCGTTTTCAGCCCCTTGTGATTCTGGTGTTCTTGAAATGTATATATTTTCTGGATGTAAATAACGATTATCAACTAATTTGTGGCCAAGGAATTGTATTATGCCACAGGATTTTGTACAGAATTCTCGTGAATTCATCTGGATGTTTTTGCTCCTTCTGTGATGTATTTTTTTAAACATTTTGTCACTGCATTTAAATATTTTTGGAGAGCAAGTTAATGATGAACCTTTAATATTCATACTTTAATAGGAGTAAATTGTTGTTGTTAAGTATTGTTTCCTAGTCATTAATTAATTTTCATTTATTAGCACGTTATGTAAGGCAATTTTGTTTTCTTTCAATAGGTTGTTTGAGTCTTTGTTACATTGAATTAAAATTACTATTTAAAATGGTGAGGTTATAAAGTAAGTTATTTAATATTTTAATTTGCAATTGGAGCTTCAAGAATGGTCATCCTGTTTTTCTTGCTTTTGTTAGTCATTACTCAATGCTAACAAGATGACCATATTACTAAATTGTCTTAAAATTCAATTGTTGTGGATCTACATGAGAACTTAAGTAAATGGACTATCATAATTTATCAGTGTCAAAGAACAATGGCACAATGTTTTGCTTACTTTTTATTGCTGACTATTCTTGAGTCTTTACATTTTTGTTTGTTTCATTAGTACACTGAATTATTCTTGCAAATGTTGTTTTTCCTTCTCTTTTAGTTCTTTAAGAAATATGTATCAGAAGAAGGTCAATTTCCTTCATTCACGAAAAATATCTGCAGGGCACAGTTTGACACTAATAAATAATTGGGATGTAGTAAATCATTTGTGTTAGCATTCAAATGTGTGTATTTTATAATCACGTTTACTTCTCAATTTTATATTAGTTAAAAGAATTTGACAAAAAATAACCCTAGCAAATGGTTTTTATGCAATTTCCTTTCACATTGGCTGATGTTCTCCTGAATCAAGTGCATAGCACATTTATGTAGCAATTATTACTATGGTGATTGCACTGTTGTGAAGGTTGTAATAAAATTATATTGAAAACAGAGTGAATATAAGTTCTATGAACAGGAAAAATTCCAATTTTTATTTCGATGTTTTACTTTTTGAAATTTACCCCCTTAACATCTTGAGTTCATAAAAAAAATTAGCATCTGAAATCAGGGCTTGACTATTCAAATTTGGAAGAAATTTGCACTTATAAAACAAGTGTGGAGTTTTCACATAAGTCTAGCTAATTATTATTATTATTATTATTATTATTATTATTATTATTATTATTATTCTTATTTTGTGAGAGGAAAAATTGCATTCTGCACTGTGAGGGATTCACGTGGTATACCCACATAAAAAAACCTCTCTCCTCTCATGCTCATGCATCTCTTCATAGGATCGTCGTGAGACTTCATGGAGAGGCAGGCAGGTAGCTGAGCTTTTACTTCAGGTTAAGAATGAAGCCGTTCTTTCATTTTCCGCATTAATGTCAGATATTCCTGTACTGTACTCCACTCCTCTGATTTTAACATACACTGCACCAAGTTTAATGGAGAGATGTCCACTTTCAGGTCTTCATTCAGCTTTCTTCTCCAAGTTTCCCAAGCTGCGCATGCATGAACTGTATGCAGTGTGTCATCATCTTCTTACCCACAAAATGAACTGAGGATCAGTTGCTCTTTTAAATCTAAATAACTAAGACTTAAAACAGCCGTGACCAGAGAGAGCCTGTGAGAGGTAATAATTTACCTCGCCGTGACTTCTTTGAACCATGGTTCTATATTCAGTATCAAGTGGTGAGTCCATCTTCCTTTAGTGTCACCATCCCACCTCACCTGCCATTCTGACAAGAGAGATGTTTGTGCCCTCTTCTTCATGTCATCTTTTATTCTGCAGGGAGGTTCATCGAATACCAAGGTGGAGGGATTCTTCACCTTGTCACATTTTTCCTTTCTCTTGCAAGCAGATCAATAGAGGGTACTCCAGCCAGAATTCCCAAAGCGCTGTCCGAGACCGTGCGGTATACTGACACTATTCTCTGCCCCAGTCTCCGTTGCACTTGTGCGTACTTACGTCCCACTCTTGTTTCCCTACTCTGTCAGCCCACACTGAAGCTGCTTAAAGCATTTGTGAGTGAGCTACGCTGGCAATCATACATCTTGGCTTCTTTTGGTCTTCCTATATTTGGCATAATTCTGGAAAGGTTGGCTCCAGTCACTGCTGCTTTATCTGCCATTTTGCTGATATGGGGCCCAAAACTCAGTCTATGGGTTATTTCGACACCCAAGTATGTAATTTGGCGATTCCAGGGGATGTTTACTCCGTCCAAGGTAATGTGACCGTAACGGTTGATCCTGGGGGGCCTTGCATCGCGGGTTTCTTTTCGGGGTCACCTTCGCCTAGCGTTTTTGAGCTTCCGCCAGCTAAAAGGAAACGGCAGAAGAGAAGGGGGCAGTGAAGAATAGAGTTACAATAGTAGAGTAGAACGGAAACGACTCCCTAGCCCTCGTAAGCTAATAGCGTCATGGTCGGAAACAAGGGTTGGTCGATACAAAGATTGGCTTATAGGATAGAAAATACGTAGAAGTGTGCTACAAGTAAGTGGAAGCAATGACACACGAAGTTAGTGGGAGTGCCTGGATGTTTAGGGAAGTGACAGCGGACAGCTGCTCCGATTAGTCGCCTTCTACGACGGGGACGTCCCGTGGTGCTATTCTACTAAAATTTATTATTTTTATAATTTTTTTAGAGGAAAATCCTTTATGGATACTAGGGAAGCTGGTGATGTCGGACTCCCAACTGGGTTACCGACTAAAAACCTAACCTCCATCTCTTAAACCGTATTGTATCCCACGCGGAAACCGTTGTTAGACACTACTTCACGTAGGAGATTGGCTTGTAGCAGAAGCTCTACTTCCTCAAACTTAACTCTTTCTTCTTCATAATACTAACTATGAAGTTCTCTATTGTTTTCCATTTTTTCTGCGAACTCAGCATCGTGCTGACCATGTTGTCTGGGTTTATATCTTGTTGGAGGTTGACATTACAAACTTCTCGTTCCGCATCCCAAGCCTTCCACTGGAATATTGTGTGTTCTGCATCATCTATGTTTGCGTGACATAGACTACATGTGGGCCTCTCTACGATCCTGAAATCGTAGAGGTATTTATGAAATCCTCCCATGTCCCATAAGAGCCTGGGACAGGTAATAACTCACCTCCCCAAATCTTCGGCTAACCCATCTTTCGATGTTAGTAATCAACCGATGAGTCCATCTGCCTTTCACATTTCCATCCCATCTCTTTTGCCATTCTTCAGGGAGCAACTTCTTTGCTTCTGCTTTAATACTCTCAATTTGCTTAGGAGGGAGATGACTACTTGTTGTGCTTCCTTCAAGGCGAAGTATGCCCTTTCCATGGCTATTAAGTCGATAGGTGGTGTACTGGCCAACACCAGCACTGCGCAAGTAGACACTGCGGTAGGCACACGCCACCCTCAAGGCCATTGGTCTTTGTACTTGGGCGTTCTTGTCTGATAGAGACTGCTCCAGCGAATCCGCCCAGACTGAAGCAGCATACAACTGAGTGAACTATGCCAGATAGCATTCTTCTCTTGGCTTCTCTCGGTCCACCGACGTTTCGTAGCCGTCTTGCGATGTTAGCTCCTGTCTTCGCCGCCTTTTCTGCCATCACATTTATGTGAGGTCCGAAGCTGAGTCTATGGTCTATTTCGACTTCTATCTGACCCTTGTCGCTATTCTTCTTGCCTTAATGCGTCGCAAGCTGCTACCACTATTTCATCCGTTGCCTTAACCATATTCTCAAGCGTTTCCGCCTCTTTCGTCCAACCCATGTTAACCAGTAACCTGGATTCTTCCAAGGAGCGTTTTACCTTGTATTCATTTATTTTTGTTTTGGATTCCAAGGTGGTCTTCCTTCATATCGCATTTTGACATGTTGCGGCCCCTCCGTGAATGGAGCCGAATATCCTATGTACCGATGCGCTCTCAGGGTTTCTTCGTCGAGCACTGACCAATCAGCGATGCCTTTAGCTAGCTTGGTGGATCATATTGTCAAATACAAAATGGATGATGCGGCTCCACGTTGAAAGGTGTACTAGTCCCCAATATTTAAGATCAGATCATTTCTTGCAATTAATTCGCTTTCAAGTTAGCCTCCAACTCATCGATATATTTCTGAAATTTTTGTAGCGTATTATTCGATGAAAAATAGCGGCTATAAATTATCATATTGCCCACTTCCAGCCATACTAGTCCGTATTTCGTTCTGCTGTGTTTCGTGGTACTCTGCTACTTATTATGCATTATTATGCCGGCTCTTCCAGTAGCATCCTGATACCACATTTCGCAGTGATGTTGCTCGCTGACGAGCAGCACGTCAAACTCCCTTTCAGCAGCGACCTGCAGCATAAATTACCACGCTTGTTTACTCCTACCCACGTTAACTTCTAGGAATCGGGGCATACTTCCCCTTTTTGACTTTATTGAACGCCATGATGGAGGTACATTTATTACTTCCTGACAGATTATCGTCTTTCCTTGCAAATTACACACTGCAGTTTACCAGTACAATCCTTGATACCATGTCCGGTTTTGCCACACCTGTAGCATACTTTACTTCAATCGGGACCTCTGCAAGTAGTTCAGATATGTCCAAAGCCTAACCATCGATAACATCTTAATATCTGGCGCTTTTCTCTGATTTCGCAGTTCACCCAGTCGATTTTAATTTTTCCTGCCGTTATGAGCTTCTGGGCTGTTATTTCATCCAGAAGCATTGTGGCTGTCTGCATTCCTCCATATCCCCTACGTAACCTACAGGAGTCGGAGATCTGGTTATTTCTGCGAATATCTTGGAAGGCTTATTTTTGCATATACTATATTATAATCTGCGTATTTCTTGGAAGGTTAATACTCAATATGCCATCTCACAGGACATTTCATAAAAAGGGACCGAGTCTGGACCCTTGTGGAACTCCGCACGTCATATTTTCTTCAATCTTCATGTTATCCATATAAATTATCTTCCATTCATGAAAGTAGTCCTCGATGACCCGTAATAGATATTCAGCGATTCCCCTGTCAATCAATACGTCCATGACGTCTTTCCACCTGGCTGAGTTGAAGGCGTTTCTAATATCAATTGCTGCAAGTGCGCAGAATCCCTTCTTCCTCCCAGTTCCGTTTCTAGCTGCTTCTGCAATGCAAACTACTTCTAAAATCGAACCGTCGTCGAACCGCCTTTTTGAAATTCATATTGTCTATGAGAAAAGCTTATTCCATTATATCAAGAAGGCACATTGGTCTATACGACGATGTCTGCAGCCATCCAACGGATTTTTGCCCTTCCGGAGGAGTATCATCTTTTGTTTCTTATTTGTTTAATTAAATTTTATTAAGTAAAATGTGTCCTATGTAAATAGAAAAGGGACTATAGAAATATAGTCATTCCTCTCTTGTTCTTGGCAGTGCACAACAAAAGTGATGGGAGATGGAGTGTTCGAAATTTGTTTTGTACGACGTCTTTTCATCATTCAAGTTCATTTGCCTAGTATTTCTCCTCATTTGCTTCAATAAATGTTCTGAATATCTTAAATTGAAATGGCTACAACATTTTTCGGTTCATTGTCCTTGTGACCATGGATGTTGTATGGAAATGAAGTATGAGGTGAGGGGTAAAACGCAAAGTTCATTGAATTGCAGTCAATGTGATAAGAAATATTCTAATTTTTTGTGGACCTTAGCTTATTTTGTAAGGGCACTTATATCAGTAGAAACCCAAACATCTTTACTGGTGTCTTAAGTTGTTATTTTCATAACAATTTTGATACTTGCAGAGGCTCTCACAATTGAACGTACACCTTTACTGTATATCTTTGATGACACCATCATTCTAAAAATTCTTCTCATGTGAATAATTCGAGAGATAAAATATGTAATTTTAATATTTGAAGTTTCCTGAAAGGACAAGTGCAATTTGAAAGCTGAAAAATGCTTAAATATATGTAAAATTAAATATTTTGTGTGTTACCTACAAATAAACTGTGCACAGAAATGTAC